TTTTGTAAACACTTTCCATGCCCTGCTATCATGCAACTAACAAGATCTGCATAACATACCAAGGCCAAATACCAGCAAGGTGCATATTTACAGATGTATATTTCCACACTAGCCAAGGTGCTTTTAGTCACCTTCGTTCATGGCACGGGGCCAGGTTATTTGCAGGACCTTCCTTCTCTCACAAGATACGACAGGGTGGGATGCTCCAGGGCTTTCCTATTAAACAATGTCATCTGTTGGGAACCAAAAGACATGCCTTCTCTGTCATGGCACCTACTCTGTGGAACAGCATACTTCTCAAATACAGATGGCCTAACTTGCTGGCTTTTCATAAGGTGCTGAAGACCTGGTTTTTCCTTGGGCATTGGGCCAGAAAGTTAAGTGAGCCCATTTGAGAAGTTTATATGTGTGGATATATGAGTTGCCTTGGATTCAATGTGCTTTTATTTTTGTTTTGTTAATTTGATGTTTTTAACTTGATGTCAGCAGCCCAGAATTGTATGACAAGGGAGCAGCCATACAGATTAAGCAAATAAATAAATAATCTCATGAGTAACCCACTGGAACCAAGACCATACCAACCATAGACAAGAAGGAGCAAATCAGAATAACCCAAAGATTTGCAAGTAAAATAAGAATAATAAGAAACAAAATAAAAAGTGGGCAAATTCCTTCTCTTATTATATTCCTTATAATGCTTGATAAAACTCCAACTTATTCTATGTCTAAATAAATAATAATATGATTAGTGTTCTATTTTATTTTAGTTTCTTTGTTGTGGGAAGAAGTCACCCTTTGGAGGAACAAGCAGTATAGAAGATGAAATGTGTGCATCAGAAATTCCGGGAACAGCAGAAGAGGTAACAGAATGCTGGACTGTAAAGCCATTGCTTTCTCTTCAGGCACCCAGTGATAGTTACCCTACAGTATGGGAGTAACAGCAGAGTTTCCCCCCCACCATCTTTGTCCCAGAATCCTCTATCAAGCAGGTCCACTGAGCAACTCTCATGAGGCTAGAATACAGTGATAAAGACTCACTTTCATTGTGGCATTAAGATTTCTCTAGGGGTGAGGCACAGTTCCAAAAATATAGTGGCCCTGGGGATAACACTATAGAAAAATGGCATTCTTGCCACTTTTGAAGCATATAATGCTTGGGTGGGCAAGCTGTCTTTCAGCCCTAGGGTGCAAGATTTTAAAATTATTGCTTTCTAAGATAATTATACAGACTTATCTTTTTGGCTCCTTTCAGTCCCATACATTGGTTCCCTTTTAAATGGTAGCAGTATGGACCATGGTAGGCAGCTTGATTATATTTTATCATCACCAGAGGCTGAATTATCAACTTGCTTTTACTGCCTTTTGAGAAAGCTTAAGGAGATTTAAAAAATAAACAAACTTTCATAGCTTTATTAATCCTGGATTAAAAGGCTGGAAAGGGGCAATTGAAATGGACCAAAAAAAAAAAAAGAATAAAAATCAATCAAATTCCAATAAAAAGATTTGCAGGCTTACTTCCAGTTCTTACACATATTTACTCAGAATTTAAGGATGTGCTCAGTAGAACCTCTTCCTGTTTTGTAAGCTTAGAGAAACCCCGAGAAAGGAGAAAGAACTTGCTTTGCAAAACACAAAATGACTCTGCAATCCAAAGTGAGTGTTCTGTTCTTTGGGCAGTTAATTAAAAATATGCAGCAGTGAGAAAACACAGGGCCATTACAAATGAATTATGAGGGCATCTGGAGTCTCCATAAAACTTAGTGGTTGAGGCAGAGAGATTGTACAGAAAACGCTTTTGGAAGAACATTTGTTCTTCCCTTTTGAGAGAACATTGGTGGGAAAGAATATGATAGAAGAACCTCACTCCCTGAAAGTAGATGCCTACATTTGGGTTTTGGTTCCTCCTTTTGCTGAATCTGGAGGTGCTGCCATTCTTGTTATATCTGCTCTCTCCTTGTAGCATGTTGTAAGCCAAAGGTCAAGCATACTGACTTCTTGACCACAAAGAGATGCATACTCTTAGCTCCAGGTTATACAGAATTATCTTTTTGGCCCCTTTCAGTCCCATACATTGGTTCCCTTTTAAACAGTAGCAACATGGTATGTCATGATATTGTCCTGTAAGCCAAAATGAGGTATTGCAATTGTTGATTTGCCATTGCAAAAACAACTACATTGCATTCTTTATTTTCCCCTCTTCCTATTTAAGTGTTCAGCATAGCAAATTGTACAGCCTGGCTTCATTTTGTTATGAGTTTCCTTGAATGAAACAGGGATAGAAAGCACAAAATATAGTAAGACGACATCATGATTAATTCTGCATTACCTTATATGCCTTTCTAGCACAGAAAGGCATTTGAGGTAATGCAGAAATAATCATGACTGCACAGCATCTCACAGCTCCCATAAATTAGGTGAAACTTCATTTTTATTCTAAATTGTAGAATTTAAAGTACAAGCATATCCAGCAGTGCAGATGTAATGGGGTGAACATTACAAATCTCAGTGACAGCATCTTCCAAATGCTTCTTGTTTATTTTCAAAAACAAGCTAAAACTTTTTTGGTCAAAGTTTGCTATCTGTTATCTCTGCTGTGCACTATTTTACTTTATAAATTTATTTTATTTGGTAGGTTGTCAGGTAGCCAAGACTCTGGGGCTGACAATTGTTTGTATTAACTTTCTTTCCCAGCATGATCACAATTTAGTTTTTTAGCAGAAGTGGAGTTCCACTTAAGAAAATAATTTCCAATTTGTAACAGCCAAGCAATACATCATGCTAAATATAAAGCTTACAATCAAATCTATATTCTTCCTTAATTAATTTCAGGCCTAGGTCAGAGTTGTAATGAGCATCATTGTGCATGAAATGGAGAGAAAAGCTTTCCTTCAAACCATCCCACCATCCAGACAATAATCTCCTTCTTTCCACTCCACAGAGTAGCAATGAAGCTTAGAAAAAAATAATCTGAATCCTGATTAACAAGAACCTGATTAGGAGTAAGAGTAGGAAAGGTAGTATAGAGCTGAAACCTATCTATGAATGTTGACAGAGAAGTAAATCCCACTGTGTTTCAATAGGGCTTATTCCCACGTGAGTAGATATTAAGCCTATTTCTTTCACACTGCAGGATTGTCTCCAAGAAATCAAACACTTCCTGAAAAAACATATGGACATTGTCTCTGTACTGATGACCATCACAATTTTCTTCATGGTAACTCTTTGTGTTCTAGTATCCATGTGGATGTGTGTGTGTGTGTGTGTGTGCACGCGCATATGCTACCTATTGAAGCTGAACTGCAAACTGAGCATGGGAATGACACTAAAGTTCTGCAAAAGCTGCATTTTGTTAAGTTTTGGTTAAACCAAAATGACTGGGAAGCTAAATTATTTGTTTAGAACCCAGACTTGTTCTCTATGACCATCCACTTTGGATGATCCACTTTGAGGGCCAAATCCAGAGCCCCATAAATGACTCAATCTACTCTTAATTGCTCTTGGGATGGTCCAATCCAATACAATTTCTGGTTCTGGAGTGTGACTGTTCTTCCACTAGTCTTTGCTCTTCATTCTTATCCCAGCCAACTGATGAAAATCAACAGAAATAATTTTGGTGTCATGTTTACTATGGATTACAGCTTTCTCTCTGGAAAGATAAAATGCCAGCTCCATTTCCTGAAGTAATAACACCAGTAAATACAGTCCAGATTTGCTTACCAATAGTTGCTTTTGTAAATTAGTGAAGTAAAACAGCATTAAGTTGCCCACTAAATAAATACAGGTAGTCCTCACTTAACAACCATTTGGTTAGTGACTGTTCAAAGTTATGTCAGGGGAAAAACCACGTTAAACACTGGAGGCAGACAGACCATAAAACAGGTCACTTCAAAGTTCTAAAAGCTTTATTAAATGTTAGTTCAACAAGCAAGTAAAGTTCAACCAATAGCATACATGGTACTCACTTAGATTCACATTGCAGTGTCGTGACCATTTTAATTGAGCCCTCAGGTAAACAGCTTGACCAAAACAGTACCGACCCCCTCAGATGCAATCCCTTTTATCCTTTAAACCCACAAACCATAGACATGACTCCTAGGTTTAGCAACTGATTCGTAACGTCCTTGGTGCTAATTTTACCATAC